CCCTCTCCATGATAACCTCGAGTCATATGCAGATCGACCCGGCTATTGAGGAATGTTTTAGCCTCCGTGGTTGGTATGATTCTCAGGGTGCAGATATGTCATTCCAGTCAAAGACGGTCATTGGTGGGGGTGGAGGTCCCATGGTCGGTTTCAACAGAACAGAAGCACGAAGCCTCAATGAGATCAAGGAATCGGAGTTGGGCATGGGGGACAAACCTGACTTCTTTTCGACTCGTGCAACGATCGTACACATTCGAGGGGAGAACATCTCCTATCCTGCGTGCACTGGTCAGAATTGTAGCAAGAAGGTGACATTGGAGGGGGATTCTTGGGTTTGTGATAAATGCGGCAATAGGGCCGAAGCCCCAGAGTATCGGTGAGTCTGGGTCATGTCATTTTTGTGTGTCGTGAAAGACTGACGATGAAGGCAGATACATTATATCAATGGCTGTAGCAGATTGGTCGGGCCAGGCATGGCTGCAGGGCTTCAACGATGCGGGAATTGCAATTTTTGGGATGACCGCGAACCAATTGCATGAAATCAAGGTAGCTATTGCCCCCCTTATCCAGGTTTCTCGAGCTCTAAATATCTGTTCAGATGCAAGATGAGAATAGATATAATACTGTTATCCACAAGGCGAACTGTCATACTTTCAACTTTTCGTGCCGCGCTAAAAAGGATTCATTCGACGTATGTCATGGTTTCTGCCTCGAATTTTCGATACTGATGTACTTCTCTTTCGCTAGGACCGAGTCCGCGTTCGATACGGAATCTCGCGAATTGAACCAGTCAATTACCGCGAAGAGGCTAATTACTTGCTTGAGCTCCTCCGTAGCCCTTGGGCTCATTGAGGTTCCGCATCAATTGTCTAGACTACATACGTCTCCCGTTGTCATTTGACCATTCTTGTACCTGTATCGCATGCAATTTGAATTTTGAAATCTAAGTGCTCAAGGGAAGCGACTACGGCTTTGAGTGCCCAATCAGGTTAGCCGGGCCGGACTGCAAAGGACTTTGTTGACTGGTGTGGTGACTTTTCTGGGCGCGTCGCACCTGGACGCGCCTTTGTGTATCTCATTCCGCGCCCTCTGCTCGGCGACATTCTTGACACTGGACTCTGGTTCTGCTGAGGGACACTCCTGGTAATCGACCATCGTCGCGATTCGTTGTTCGGTCTATTCTGCGACAACCTCTCAACACCCTTGAACGTACCTCTTGGCACACAACCATGCCTGTGCCAACGTCCAGAAGCTCTGCTGCCTATACAACCTCGGTATCTACACCTACACCCTCACGACCATACCTTTCTCGGCCTATCAGTCCTCTGTCAACAAACAGCTATTCTCCTACCATCACGCCAGTTGGTCAGGCTGTGAGGATGAATGTAGTGACGCGCATTGCTATCGAGGGCAAGGCAAAACAAGGCCAAGACGGCGTGCCAATAAAGATGTATATGAAAGTGAGTTTTCGAAATTTCCAAAAGACCCCAAGCAAACCAATCCTTTCATAGCTTTCGGTTCCTATTGATTCCATCTCACCAGGATCAACCATTGCACTATTCCCTGGTGAGAGCATCTCTATGCCTATGCTCGTCGTTTTATGGCTAAATTTACCGCAGAGGAAAACATTAAGATATTGACATCACAAGTCCATCCGCTAGACAGCAATTCAGTGCCTTACAACTTTTCGTCCACCGGTTCGCCATTACTTCACAACGCAGCTCGAGCTCTGAATTTACCAGCACGCTTGCCTACCACATTTAATGGAGCGTTCCGCCTCAGCTCGACAACAAATAAGGCGTCATCTACCGTTTCGACAAGCCGTTCATCGGAGCCCGAAGCGACTACTATCCCCCCTGTTGATCCACAGTATACTGGTCAAATTCTAGTTAGTGGCTATCACATTGCGTTCGTCCTGCCCAAACACTTCCCGAGTTGGGATCATGCACGGACGGAGGAAGAATCAGAACGTTCGAGCCACCTGCCGCACCACAAAAGACGCCTTTCTATAGGTGACCGCAATCATGCTCACTTTATGGCGGCGATCGATATGTGGGTTCCATACGTTACAAGACCTCCTCGCTTCCCATATCTCGTACGTGTCTCATGCAGCCATCATGATAAACTACCATTTGATGCATAGCGCTCTGCATAGCTCTCGATTCCTACCCCTCGGTGTCTCCACAACAATATCAAGCTTCGAATATTTCCGCCCTCGAACACAGCATCGTCTTTAGCATCTTTATCATCGCTCGAAGATGATGCGAATACTTGGGATCTCACCTCGGATCCACACGTCACACGGACAGCGTCTAACCGCCTGTCGCGGACCAGCTCTTACAATCACTTTGCAGATGACGAATCCAGTGACTCGTCGACGAACGGTTTTTCTGATGGATTTGGGATGCAAGGAACTTTCCCGAGTACTGATCGGATTCGCGTTCGATGGGCAAAACCAATGAAATCTTTTGACGAAGTGGCGGGTAGTGGGGATACACGAAGGAGAGTTGGTGTCAAAGATGTCAGAAGCGAAGTGGTTTGCATTGTGCGGGGGAAACGGAAAGGTGATGGTGGCAATGGGGCTGAAGGGATTGTGATGGATGTCGAATACAAGGCATCTTGCAAGGGTATCTGGTTTCCAGGAGTGGCCACACTATTGGGTATGGATGTTGGTCTCGTAGCCAAAAACGCTGAAGTTACATGGCTTGAGGGCTCGCCATCGGAATGGAACATCAGCGGAGGGGTGGGTTTCACCGGTTTCAACATCAGTGGGATGGGGCGCCCAGACAATCCGTCTTCATCAAGAACCTCTTCCACAGATTCTCCTTCCATCGTCATTTCTTCCCCAAAAGGCCAACAGATGTCACCGCCGAACGGGAGACCTAGAGGCAATTCATCTTCTTCAACTCCATCCCTTCTTCGTGCCCCTTTACCGTCTCATAACGTTGCCGAATACTCGTTTGAAGGCGTACATGAACCTGGAATCTCTGTATCATCTCACCTTGGGACGTTATCCTCGATATGTTCTTCGTCCCAATCCAGCGCCGCCTGCCCTGGAGTCCCCCTAACGCTCCACCTTAATATGAACGACATCCTCCCTCCAAACAAAACCCCATTCACATTCACTATTACCGGTACCATTCTCATCACGCCTCGGGCCACACTTTCCAGGGTCGATGGTACACATGACATTCATCCTCCTTTGGATTATGTTGAGACCACAGATCCCGTTAGTTTACCACACTTCACGATCCTGGCAGCAGATGCGGAAGCGACAAAGATCGTGGTTTGGAATGAGGCCGACTTCCCTAATGCAACTGTGGAAGTGTATAGTCCATCTGGAGATATCTATAAAGATCCACAAACTCGGAAAACGGTTCTTCAGAAAGGCGGCTCTACTCGGTGTGGAGACGATGGCGGTCGGATCGCTCTAAAGGTCATTGGTAGCCTCCATGACAACATCTTGCCTGGGCGCCCTCAAACTCCGATGGGTAACCCTAGGTATCGAACACCCTCAAGCGCGGACCGGCCACTCAATGTTGCTCGCCAAAACCGGAAGGGCCCTCCTGCAATTCCTTCGGTCAAAGCAATTGTAACACCACTCCTATCCCGCCAGAGCACAGTGCCCAACGCATACGCTGTCAGGATACACCTAAGCGCTCCTGTCAATAGTGAGGCAGACTGGTTAGAATTTGGGCTAGCCCAAGTCGGCCCGAGGGCTTCACGTACACCGTTACCTGACGGCGTTGAAACATACTCCCCAAAAGTTCATATTGCAAGCGCAAGTGTCGATGGTGTGCCAGCACAATTCACAATGTCCAAGCCTGGGAAGCGGTCAGCGAATGACGAAACCTTTCAAGGCGCTTCATTCGAGACGATGGGTAGTACGGAATGGATGAACTGGGTGAAAATTCAAGTTGGTCCCTTAGGTGGAGATAATGTCGTCATCGACTATATTGTAAAGGTCGAGCCAGACAGAGCAACCTGGTTTTCGAACTGGAATAGAAGACAACGGTGGGATCTCCTGCTGCCAACATTCGCCCTTCCCGTCGGGAGATTAGAAGTTACCCTCGAGGATTTGACAGGTGAGTGTGAGTTCAATAACCTGGATGCAATCTAAAGGCATATATGGTGACCAGGGTTCGAGTGCTCGTCCATGCTATCAAACCTTGAGTACCAACACATGCACTTGCATGGACAGAAGCTACTCCATTTCGTCCCCGACGATCTTTTTTCTCCCCAGATTTCCCTGCAGTTAACGCCAACGAAGCCAAAGAAATCCTTATTGTCATGGCTGGCAAACGCATTACTGTGGTTCTATATTGTTACCTCTGCACTTCTCCTCTGGAACCTAGAACAAAAGATACAGTCAAGACAGGTGCACATTGGAAGCCCTATCCAATCTTTTAACCCGGCCGTGGGAGGCCATGAGGACCTGATGACAGTGACGGCTACGGTTGTGAAAACGGTAACTGACTGCCCAACCAAGTCTCCAGCGTTGGCCGAACCAAGCCCTTACTTATCAGGTCGATCGGCCACACACAATGGAGCACCCTCAAGGTCATTGTCAACACTTGTTATGTCTCCCACAACAGTCTTATTGCCGCCTACGACTAAATCTACACCGTCAACAACGAGTCACCTTCCCTCAAATGCTCTTTCGGGGCAACCGCTCAAACCATTATGGGAAAGGCTTGGTTTTGGCGATGCCCAGGTTGTATTGAAATCCCTGCCAATCCCAGATTTCGCATTCCCATCTGTGAAGCAAAAGTTCGCTCAGTACAGTGGATCGTTGGAAACAGTTTGGAAAATCCTATGGAAACTTTTGTTGTAGATCCGTACTTATTGTATATTGTTATGCTTCAGTTAACTTATATTATGTACATGTATTTTTAAAACAAAGTGTGCGCATGAATGATAGGTACCACATGACTTGCGTTTGATGTTGGGATGTAAAGAGGGCTACATTGTGCGGAGGACACCGTCCGACTCAAAACCAAGGCGCTATAGCCAAGTGGTTACGGCGACAGATTAGAATCACTTGGCTCTAATATCTGTTCCTCTTTGAGGGCGCAGGTTCGAATCCTGCTGGCGTCGGTGTTTTTAATTCCGGGCGCGTCATCTCCCTCGTTTCAGTCTTACAATTATTTCCTTTACCTTGGTGGTCGAGTGTTTGGGCCGAGAAGTTATATTTTTAGAGGCTGAGGAGGTACTCGGTACTCAGTGATCATACCCAAAGCTTCTATTGAAAAGGCAGAAGAAGCACCGCCTTAAGTGTCAGATATTGGGTGGGTACACCTCCAAAATTATGAGGTTAGTCAGTGTTGCATCTCGGCGGGTACCACACAAGTCGAGCAGTTTAATATATGGCTGACGTAACATGTTTTGGAGAACACTGTCCATTTTGGGTCATAGCCAGCTTGCGCGTACATATGCTGGGACGTGCTTTATTACTCCCTCGCCGAGTGGCACTTACCCAATCTCGTTGCATCAAGTTTCCCTTGCTGCACCTCTCATCCCCACTAACAATGCTCTCTGGACCTGATTGGAAACATGTCGTCCCGTCAGACCCCAACATTCCTCCGTATTTTGTCTTCACCAAGCCGATCGAAAAGTCGCCGAGAGATGAACGAGAGTATCGTATCATTCAATTGGACAATGGATTGAAGGCAACGCTTGTTCACGATAGCGAGACGGATAAAGCTGCAGCAAGTCTCGATGTTGCGGTCGGACATCTTGCTGACCCCGTACGTTCACTCTTACGGTGTTGTAAGTACCATCCTCATGCGCGAACGTTAGCCGGATATGCCTGGACTTGCTCATTTTTGTGAACACCTATTATTCATGGTACGTCAATAAAGCTCCCTAATCGTATCGACTAACATGGACGCAGGGAACTGAGCAATTCCCTCGCGAAAACGATTACCAAGAGGTATGTCTGACACATCATAGTTTAGTTGGAAAGGAAGCTCACCAAACGTCCAGTATCTCTCCAAAAACAACGGAGGATCTAACGCCTATACCTCAACTACCAACACAAATTATTATTTCAACGTTACCACATCCGCTTTAATTGGGGCCCTCGAACGTTTTTCTGGCTTCTTTCATTCGCCGCTTTTTGCCGCTTCCTGTACATCCCGCGAGCTGAACGCAGTCGACTCAGAGAACAAGAAAAATCACCAAGCTGATGTTTGGCGCATCTTCCAGCTTAATAAACACCTGAGCAAACCCGGGCATGTCTGGAGCAAATTTGGAACCGGGAACCGCGATAGCCTATCCAAAGTCGCAAGGGAACTCAAGGCACAAGGGAAATTGAACGGGGCCATACTCTCAAATGGTTCTGATCTTTCGGCTTCTGTTGCTTCAGACCGGATTCCTTCTCCAGCGCCTTCTGAGACCGAAGCAGATGGTGGTGTGGTTGGGCGTGAAATTCGCCGAAGGCTAATGGAATGGTGGACCGAAGAGTATTGTGCAGGCCGTATGAATCTCTGCATTCTTGGAAAAGGCACAAGTCATCCCTTAAGCTTTAATCCTCTTAACTAAAATGACTTGAACTAGAATCTTTGGAGGAACTTTCTGACTTGGCCTCAAAATTATTCTCTTCTGTACCCAATCGCGGAAAGGATTCCTTGCCAATGATCAACGACAATCCTTTTGGGCCGAATGAAAAAGGGGTAGGCATCCTTTACGGCTTAGAGGGTTCTGTCCGCTAACTGCGCCACAGACATTAGTATCTGTGCAAACCATCATGGATTTCCATGCATTGGAGATTTCTTTTCCTTTGGAGTATCAACCTCCACTCTGGCGCTTCAAGCCCGCTAGCTTCCTCTCCCACTTTGTCGGTCATGAAGGACCTGGGTCATTACATTCCTATCTCAAAAACAAAGGATGGATAATTTCGCTCTCTTCTGGCCCACAAAGCTTAGCTAGAGCATTCGCCATGTTTAAAATCACGATATACTTGACGGAAGAAGGTTTCAGTGAGCATTCCAGATGCAACGCGCTTACACCACTGCTGAATATTCCCAGAGAATTACCGTTCTGTGATACTGGCCGCGTTCAAATACTTGGCGCTACTTCGATCTTCTCGGTTCGAGAATTACCACCAAAAGGAGATTGCCGCTCTTTCTTCCATTCGATTCCAATTTTCCGAGAAGAAACGGCCTGATACCTATGCGACATGGATATCCGAGCACATGAATTGGCCCGTCCCGTCGGAACTTGTGCTCAGCGGCCCACAGCTGGCTTGGGAATGGGACATTAACGAAGCTACTCCGGGTGGGGAGGACACAATCCGTCAATACCTTGATACTTTCCGGATACAAGAAGGTCGTGTCGTACTAATGGCGAAAGGAGATGAGCATAACAAGGTACATCCTGGGATGAAATGGGAGAAGGAGCCCTGGTATGATACAGATTACAACGTCAAGCGCTTTGAGGAAGAATTCGTCAAAGATGTGGGCAACATTTTTCTAGATTTATCCGAAGTGACTTGACGTCGTATATTAGGCTCAAGCACCCAGCGACATTCCTGAATTATTCCTCCCTGGTCCCAATGCCTTTATCCCAAATAATCTGGATGTCGACAAACGCCAGGTTTCTGAGGTATTCGCTCTCTTTGTTATGTGGTTTCAGTTGTGGCTCATTGGTCCGTAGCCATTCAAGCGTCCGCACTTGATCCGACAAACACCATTGACTACGCTCTGGCACAAGAAAGACGATCGATTTTGGGTCCCCAAAGCTTTCGTGATGCTTGACATTCGAAGGTGCACCCAGATAACCTGTCATTTCGGCCTTTATCTCACCGTGTAGTAGCCCAGCAAGTTACGCATCTCCGCGAGCTGCGGTTCTCACGAGGTAATCCATCCGCCCCCAAACATCGATCATCCTCTGAAGTCATTGCCAGGCTCTACACTGACCTGGTCAATGATGCGCTGACGGAATTCGCATATGATGCTGACCTCGCAGGACTATCATATCACTTCAGTAACACCACTACCGGATTATACGTGTATACGGGCGGGTACAACGACAAGCTAGCTACCCTCATCAAAGACGTTCTCCGGAAAGCCAGAGGTCTCAAGGCTAAGCCTGATCGTTTAGCAGTGATGAAAGAACAGGCAAGCGAACACCCGCAAATTTCCTCTGGTAACTTGGCTCACTGTATTTTCGAACATAGGTAGCAAGGGAATGGCGCAACTTCTTTTTAGGCCAATCATATTCAATATCAGATTATTTCGGTCGCTATCTCCTCTCTGAAAGGCAATGGACCGTTGAGGAAGAATTAAAGGAATTACCTTGTGAGTCTGATCGTGATACGTCAGTGTTGGGAGCCTAAAGAAATCGACCTGAAGCCGTGACGGTGGAAGAGATTGACGCGCATGCGAAGAAGCTATTCTCGGAGGTGCATCTACGAATGCTAGTCACTGGGAATCTCTATAAAGATGTATGCCTCTGTTCACCTTTGCGTTCAACAAACTAATTATGTCAACAGGAAGCCCTAGGAATAGCGGATATAGCTGAAGAGGGTCTTAAACCAACCAGCCTTTCACAAGCTCAGTTGAACGATCGGGCCTTGATCATTCCTCCAGGTACGTTGTGGATGCCAAAAGCATTGCCAGTATTCTGACGATTTTGCAGCTTCGAACTATATCTGGTCGCTTCCTTTACCAAATCCGAATCAAGCCAATTCTGCGCTGACCTACTACCTCCATTACGGGCCAGTTGCTGACAAACATCTTCGTGTCACTGCAGCACTGCTGACGCAAATACTCTCTGAACCAGCGTTCGCTGTCCTCCGAACCCAAGAGCAGTTGGGTTACATTGTTTCGTGTTCTTCATGGAACCTGTCGGGATCAAGTGAAAGAGGGTTGCGCATCGTCGTTCAGAGCGAAAAGATGCCAGGCTATTTGGAACAACGAGTAGAGGCATTCCTGACTAGCATGAAGTCTAAACTCGGGGAAATGTCCCGTGACGAATTCGAAGAACATAAAACAGGTCTGAAAAAAAAATGGTTGGAGGCTGATAAAAATCTCGCCGAAGAGTCCTCTCGTTTCCAGACTTATGTAACCTCGGGCCATTGGGATTTCTTAAGAAGTACGATCCACCTCCCTCACCCCCTTCTACTTGACGAGCTCAATAATTGTAGGATACGACGACGCCGAACTCCTACATTCCATCACCAAAGACGATGTTCTCAAGCTCTTTGGTACTCACATTGATCCCCAATCCCCGACCCGCGCCAAAGTATCTGTTCATATGGTCTCCAAGAAACCTCGTATCAAGAGAGTCAGTGAGGCTGCGTCGCAGGCTTTCGAGGAAAAGCTTCGGTCGTCTGGAATTAATGCAAGCGAGCACAACTGGAAGCAAAGATTCCAAGATGGACTTCCGTTACTCACAGAATTCACTCAATTCTGGCAAGGGGCGCTAGCAGGGCGGGAAGATAGTGAAAGACTTCTTGGAGAGATACCCAAGCTCGTAACGGAACACTCAATCGAAGGAGAGGATATAGACCCCACGCATCTGAACGCTACGTATATCAAGGACGCGTTGGAATTCAGATGGAGCTTGAGCGCGTCTGTTGATCCTGGACCGATGGCACAATGGGGTGATCTTCCAACTCCCAGATTCTGAGCGCCGTAGATGCTGTAAACCGAACGCGAATCAACTGAATCAACTCTGCTTGATCTCACATCTAAAATAATAGTAATCTGTATTGTATTTCGGACTGCCTGGGCAATCAAAGAGGATCTTACAGGAGTAGCGATTGACAGTATAACACGATAATTACAAGCGCGGCAAATTAAATAATTACAGGTACTGTCCATGAGCCTATGGTGGGCAGTGGATCGTCGGCATCTAGCTCATGAGAAGGAATTCTTCGAGCTTCATTTCCTACGACTAGCATCTACACCGGTTTTGCTCCTGGCGGCTTGCGGGTTCGGAGGCTCGTAATTCTTTGCTCGTCGGAAGAGGAGAACATGGGGTTCTGGCGCTGTAATTGAGTCGGCAAAGGTAACGGTAACCTCGAGGAAGGAAATTGCTCTCACCATGTACCTCATAATGCTCCCAACCGAGACTCTGGGTGATGCCAATAC